TTTCATCACTTCCATCTTTCTTCCTTCATCACTTCCATCTTTCTTTCTTCATCACATCCATCTTTCTTTCTTCATCACATCCATCTTTCTTCTTTCATCACTTAGATCATTCTATCATCCATCACTTCCATCTTTCTTCCGTCATCACTTCCATCTTTCTTCCTTCATCACTTCCATCTTTCTTCTTTCATCACTTCCATCATTCTCTCATCCATCACTTCCATCTTTCTTCCTTCATCACTTCCATCATTCTCTCATCCATCACTTCCATTTTTCTTCCTTCATCACTTTCATCATTCTCTCATCCATCACTTCCATCTTTCTTCCTTCATCACTTCCATCATTCTCTCATCCATCACTTCCATCTTTCTTTCTTCATCACTTCCATCTTTCTTCCTTCATCACTTCCATCTTTCTATCTTCATCACTTCCATATTTTCTTCATCATATCATATAACAGTAATACTCAATCACATATCTTGTATTCATGTCATTTTACATGTAGCCTTTCTCTGATATATGGATCTGGTTATTATCGAGAAATTAGAAGGGAAGCAGAAAAATGGGGATTTAAACAGTCATCTAGTCAAAACTAGTGAGTGCTATAACACAGGGATAGATGAATCCATTATTGAACAATATTTTTATGGCCATATTGTTGTTTTTCAGTTCAGCAGACTAAATCAGATTTTCATCCCTTTACGGAGATGTATATTGTGAAATTAAAATTACTATGTATTCATTGCCAACCAGTTCCTGAGAATAAACATATGGTTTTCAATAATCTTTTGAAAGGCTAGCATTTCATCTGTGTTTAAAGTTGCATGGTTACAGTGTCTACTTCGTTATTTAGTTCATCCTCTGGTTAAATATTGTTCTCTTGTAGTATGGTGTATCAGCATCACATATTTTCATTCCCATGGCAACATTTGAGAATGTTTTTTATGAACATCTGAGGAGCTTGAATGTGTCTTCTTTTAGTAGATAACTGAATGTTATATTAGAGTGGTTGAGGAATAATTGACTGTCGCTTTGTGTTTGTATAAACATGATTTTGAATTTCATCTTTTGAAGCATTTTTTATTTTTTTTTACTCTCTGCAATGACACCCACGCTCATCACAGTTACACACACTGGGGTATTTATTCAAATTGAGCAACATCCTAGCAGAGTGTTTTGATATAGTAATATGGTTGCTAGGGAAACTTAATGATGTCACTGATAAAAACCCATTTCAGTACTTTCTCATCTTTTATATGGTTTTCTTATTTGGAGATGCTAAACACCATGTTTGGTCCTTTGTTTTTACTGTAACAAGCAAGTTGAACTTGAATAGTCAGAGGTCAGATCTGCAGACTTGATTGTAAACCATTAAAATGGAAATGCATAATTGCTACAAACCATCACTGTTGTAAGTTGATGATTCTCGTTAAATTTGACAATGATCAGCTTTAAACGTGAATGAATACTTCGTGTCATTTATCAATAACATTGCCTATAATTTGATTTTGGCTTCTATGGCAACCACTACCATGACGATGATGATCGCTTTGTCAGTCATGCATGCTGGCAATGTTTGCTGCTTGTTTTCTAAACTGTTTCTCGCCATTATTTTAAAATTGCGAGAGAGCCTGCACTAGGCATGTATATGTACTAAAATAATGTTTAGTCTCTGTTTTACTGCAATACAATAATGAGGGCAAGCGATTTTATTAGTGGCACACATTTTGTTCATAATATGAACAGATAAATTTGTATTTCATTAGAAGAAGTTGAATCATTCCAGTTGCTTACATTGTCTTCTATATATAAATCAAGGAAATAAAAGGACATGAGGCGGTTGTCATGGCAATAGGCATCACCTGAAGAGAATGCATGACTTGAGAGAAGGTTGATACAAGGTTACCTTTATTACTCTATTAGGCATCAACAAATTACAGCTGTGTGATGTAAGAAGATCATGTCTCATGAGTGACGTCCCTATTTTCGGGAAAATTTATCCAGTTACGCAATCTGCTGATGAATTTTATTCAGGCTGCAATAGTGTATATTATATATTCCTCTCATTTATTAATAAACTTTTAACAGTAAATACATATATATATTACAAGTTTATTATGAAACTACCACAAATTATACATAAAGGCAGTGTTGCGATCGTATCAATCGACATGGAGTGGAGGTCGATGTGCATGTGTCCGTACTGCCCGAGTCCATACTTTACGGTATTCTCATAATATTATTATATATCTTTTTCATGCTTATAAAAATAATTTAATGAGAGATAGCAGTCCAAAATTAGTAAAATTGTGTTCAGTGACGAGATTCTATTTCTGTCACTGTAGTGTCGCTACGTCTGTTGTGAGCAAAAGATAGGGTTTGAATGTTGCGTAAATGAGACGCACATTTCTCAAACAAGGTTGACATTTGAATGCATCCATAACATTTGTTATGGATGAATGAATTCTATTCAATATCATTTGTATAATAATGTGTATTATATGTTTTTGAAGATTGCAACCTGATTTCATCGATCTCTTGAGTTTCTCAGAGTAATGGTTCTTGAGATCTCAGAGTAATGGTTCTTGAGTTTCTCAGAGTAATGGTTCTTGAGATCTCAGAGTAATGGTTCTTGAGTTTCTCAGAGTAATGGTTCTTGAGATCTCAGAGTAATGGTTCTTGAGTTTCTCAGAGTAATGGTTCTTGAGATCTCAGAGTAATGGTTCTTGAGTTTCTCAGAGTAATGGTTCTTGAGATCTCAGAGTAATGGTTCTTGAGTTTCTCAGAGTAATGGTTCTTGAGATCTCAGAGTAATGGTTCTTGAGTTTCTCAGAGTAATGGTTCTTGAGATCTCAGAGTAATGGTTCTTGAGATCTCAGAGTAATGGTTCTTGAGTTTCTCAGAGTAATGGTTCTTGAGATCTCAGAGTAATGGTTCTTGAGATCTCAGAGTAATGGTTCTTGAGATCTCAGAGTAATGGTTCTTGAGATCTCAGAGTAAAGGTTCTATTAAATTCCCAGGAAATATAATTATGTTCATGTTCATCATGTACATCAGTTAAAGATGTATTAGAATTCCAAAAAAAAAAATTTCAATTAACAAAATATGAAAAAGGCAGTTCTGTATCAATGTTTAATAATGTTTCTGTTCGTAATTAAATTTTTAATTTTATGTAATCTGTATTTTTAAATAGCAAAAATGGGTTTCAATTTTGTAAAAATAACAAGCAATATTTGATCACAGTTTGTTAATCATGCATGGGTTTCTATTAAATTATTCTCATAATGATGATGTATGTCTTGTTATTGTAATGTTAAAATTAGATATTTTCAAAAATTACTATTCATCATGTTTTAATTAACATTCACTGATGAAGTATGTGTAAAATTTGGTTTCCATAGTAATGCCACATTTTATCATATACTGTAAAGAGGTTACC